GGGCTGGGGAGCAAGCAGGGCTGGGACCCGCAGTGCTGAGTTACCTGTGTGTGAAGGAGCTGTTTGGGGGACGACCTGTGTGGAAGTTTTTCTTCTGCCTTCCTTTTTTAAGATCATAAATAACAGTCGCCGTCCTTTAGAGAGAGTTTCTCAGTACACCCAGGCATAGAGAAGCAAACCACAATCAGCCACGATCGCACCCGAGACAACCCCTGCTCTTACATAGCCTGGCGGCTTCCATTAACCTGTTAGGCTTTTAGGGGCGCCTGGGTGGCCCAATCGGTTAAGCATGTGCCTCTTGATTTCAGCTCAGGTCATGATCCCTGGGTCGTGGGATCGAGCCCCGCATCTGTCTCCCTGCTCAGCAGGGGAGGGGAGTGGAGTCGGCTTGCTTATCCCTCTCCCTCTACCCCTCCCCACCCACTCTCTCTCTCTCTCTCTCTCAAATAAATAAATATAATCTTTAAAAAAAAAAAAAACCTGTTATGTTTTTAGAGTTGAGATTATCCTACATGGACAAGGCTGCAGTCTTTTTTCCCCAGTGTTAGATCCGTCAGCATTTTCCTGCGTCGTGAACACTCATCATTCTAACAGCTGCAGATGAGGGTATATCAAGAGGCTGTGCTTATTTTCTCAGCTCTTCGTCTCCAGGAGGCAATGGCTTTTCTCCTACTGGGAGAGAGTGAATGCTGCTGAGAAAACTTGGTTCAAATCCCAGCTCTGTCCCTTAGTTGCTGTGCGACCTCAGACAAGTTGCTTAGCCTCTCTGGGCCGCAGTTTCGTCATCTGTACAATGGACATAACATAGCCACCTCATCGATCCCCAAATTTAAATGAAGTTCTCCCCACTTACTCTTTACCCCACTCGCCATAACTTGTGTCCGATGGTTTCCTCGCCCAGTCACTGCCTTCCATCCCTGGAACACTGGCTCCCTGAGGCAGACAGTGTGGGCCCACCGCCCCTGGGAGGCTGGAGGTCTTGCTCCCCTTCCCTGCACGTAGGCCAGCCACACAGCCCGAAGGACGGGAGCTGACTGTTTCCCCCAGAGGGGCAGGGAGGCCGCAGATGTGAAGCCACCCTGAGCTTTCCAAGTAAAGTAAGGACTTGACAAATCTGTCCCCTCCTCAGGCTGCTCACCCCACACTCCTCAGACCCCTGCCGCCTGCCCGCCCGTCCTCTCCCTCGTTCTGGTGCCGGGTGGGGGACTCTTTGTCCTGTCAGCTGCCCAGGTCACCCACGGGTGACCCTGGGCAGGGACCACAAGGGCAGGCCTGTTGGGCTGAACCTGCCGGTTCCCTGCTCGCTGCCTCTGGGTCCTCAGAGGGGTCTGGGCAGGGGACCGGAGGAGGAGAAGCCAGGCAGGGACAGTGGCAGGAGCGGCTCCAGCTGTTCGTCCCCTCAGCTCTCTCCCGCACCTCCCGTTCCCGGAAGAGCAGCCCTGGGCCGCCCAGCGAGGCATGCACGCACAGGCCTGAGCCCCCCTTCACCTGAGACTGACCCCTTGCCGCCTTTCAAGGGTCCGATCTTCTGACTCGACTCTTTATCTCACAGCTCAGCCCCAGGACAGTTTTGAGACTCTGGGGAAATCTGGGTCTCACCGAAATCTTGGTCCAAGCAGACTCTGTGTTGAAGCTTCTGGGACCCTGAATGGCTCAGTCAAGGAAGATGGGATGGTCTCAGCCTTGAACGTCCTCCCAGCCCATCCCACCTGTGGCCCCAAACAGTCATTCACTCAGCAAACAGCACGTGCGTTCCTGGGCACTGGATACGAAAATGACCAAGTCAGACGTGAGGCCCGCAGGGGGCTCCCGCAGCCCAGTGGGCTTGGGGTGAGGTGGGCAGAAAGCAAAGCTGTCCTAGTGCTCAGGCAGAGGTGGGGACTCTGAGCACAGAGCGTGCGGAAGCCAGCCCCCCACGGCATCCTCCACAGACCCCGAAGGGGAAATGGTCAAACCTGGGGGTCCTGCCTGGGTGTATCTCCTGCCCGTGGTAGACGAGGGGACCCAGCTTTCATTTTACCCCCTGACTCCAGCCCCTTTCCCTCTTCAGGGTGTTCTTCCAGCCATGTAGACAGTCCTGGCCTCCCTGGTCTCCTGGTTCCTGGTTTTCTGGGCAGACCAGGGGTAGGGGGATTTATACTCTACACTCCTTGCCCCCTCTGAGAACTGGGGGGTCAAGAAGAGTTAGTTGATCCGGTCAGGAACCCCTGGGCCCTTTGTGCCCCTTCCGCTGGAATCCTACACAAACCTGCTTGTGCCGAGAAGCAACCTAAGGTTCCCAGAATGAAGGGCACCCTACCCGTGCCGCTGCCCCAGACCTTCCGAGGTGATCACCTGTGCTCCTAGGACCCCTGCACCTGCCAACACCCCATGCCAGCTTTAAGCTTCCCCTCTCTCTCCACTTGTCCAGAAATTCTCACAGTCCCCAGAGGCACTGCCTTCTGCCAGACCCTAGGGACCTGTGCAAGCCGCGTGGCCCTCTTCCCCATAGGAGCTGGAGGTGGGGTACAGTTGGGCAGGGACCACAGCAGGGGAAGGGAGGCCAAGGATCGCCTTCACCTCAGGCTGACATATTCAGAAGTTAGGTGGAAGGGGAGATAGATGATGGGAGAGAGTGAGTGGAAGGAAGGAAGGCAGGAAGGCAGGCAGGCAGGCAGGCAGGCAGGCAGGCAGGCAGGCTGGACAGACAGGTGGGCTAACAAGAGAGGATGGAAGGAAACTGGGTGACAATGACCACTAGGCAAGGGTGAGGTTTGGTGGAGTGGAGGATGCTTACACCCAATTGCCTTCCTACAACAGATGTTTGTTTTCTTCTTCCTGAAGTGAATCTCCCTGCCTCTCCTGGAGGAGCATATTCTTAGTCTGTTTTTAGTTCAACAGACAAGAAAGTGTTCCTTGGAGCCTCTCTAATTGCAGTCTGTTTGCCCCTGATGGACTTTTGTGGTCATGGAGAGCCACGGATGGAATCCTTCCTTCTAAAACCCTTCCTGTATTTTAAGACTTCAATTGCAAGAAACAAAGTGCTTGGACGAGGTGGGGTCTTCAAACCAGGCTTTCCCAGGGATGTTTCAGGAGTTGAAAAGAATGCTTTTATTTTCTTTTTGAAGTTATTTCAGAAGTTTTAAAAACTCTAATTAAAAAAGCAAATCCATCGGAGACCCCCAGCTCTTTTGTGTATCCTGCCAGTTACACCCTTTTGGGGCCCTTTCCGTTTAAGTAGAAGTTCTGAGATTTTAAGGCACACAGTTGATAAACTGTTCCCACCTCCAACTACTTGTCTGTGTGACTTTTCCTCCTACTGTGTCACAAAGCAGACTGGAGGAATCCATTGGATTCTGGGCTGGTGTAATCGGGGCCACATCTGTAACTCCCACTTGAAAATGTTTGCCTGCCCAACACAGCTTTTCCCTTCTCATTAGTTGTTTCTAGAGGACGAAAATATGCAATTGGACATGTAATTTCTTCCTTTCCCTCATCTCACACACTGGGTTTCATGTTGAGTTTTATTTTTCAAGGAGGAATTTATTTTTTTTTAAGATTTTATTTATTTGAGAAAGAGAGCGAGCATAAGTAGGGGGAGGGACAGAGGGAGGTGGAGGGAGAGAAGCAGACTCCCCACTGAGCAGGGAGCCTGACTTGGGGCTTGATCCCAGGACCCTGAGCCACCCAGGTGCCCTTCAAGGAGGAATTTCATTGATAATTTTATTTTATTTATTTATTTATTTTTTAAATGAATCTCGCCAAGAGGGAGTTTTTGTTGTTGTTGTTGTTGTTGTTGTTTTGACAGAGAGAGAAAACAGTGAGAGAGGGAACACAGCAGGGGGAGTGGGAGAGGGAGAAGCAGGCTTCCCGCGGAGCAGGGAGCCCGATGTGGGGCTCGATCCCAGGACCCTGGGATCATGACCCGAGCCGAAGGCAGACGCTTAACGACTGAGCCACCCAGGCGCCCCTCACTGATAATTTTAGAAAGAAAGAAGAAACAAAAATAGAAACCCATTAGACTAATCCCTAAGAAAACCTTGTCTCTTCCTTTTTTTTTTTTTTTTTGAGATTTTATTTATTTATTTCAGAGAGAGAGAGAGAGAGAGAGAGAGAGGGACAAGCAGACTCCGTGCTGAGTGCAAGCCAACTTGGGACTCTATCTCTCGACCCCAAGATCATGACCCGAGCCAAAATCAAGAGTTGGATGCTTAACTGACTGAGCCTCCCAGGCTCCCCTCTGTCCCTCTGCACTGAGGATTCTTAGTTCCCCAGCTTCAAGGCCCTTTTACCAACAGGGGCCTCTCTCTCATGTCATGGGGAGGTAGGTGGGTTGTTCTTGCTTAGGTCAAGGTTGAGAATTAGCCAGGCTTCTCTTCTGAGCCTTTTATGGCCAGCCATTCATAAATTTGTCCCACCCTGTTAGGAATCCATTTATCAGCCCTACCAGGGTCTCCTCCTGGTGTGGCGGGTTCCACATTCATTACCGGTGGGGACGGCAGCATCTCCTGCTCAGTAGAAGCCTGGTGCCTCTCCTCACGCCCTCCTTCCCAGGGGGCCCGCAGCGAGGTGGGGAGCCTCATTTCGCCTCTGTGGGCCTCACGGCCAGGACCTTCCAGTCCCTTCTGGTGGCTGGTGCTCATAAACCTGGCTGTAGCTCTAATGTTCCTGAGAGCATTCCAGAACACCGTAGAGAAGGAGTTCTGCTGTGGCTTCTGGAATCGAGCTGGCAGAGGGCATCCTATGGAAAGCAACGTCTAAGAGGGACTTGTAAATAACACATCAATCGATCGGTCATAAATGGGCTCAGAAACTACTCGTTCATTTCAGAATAGGCTTTATCCCTTTAGAAAAGCCTATTGTCCATGTGCTTTTGCACATGCTCTTTGGATGCAATCAGGGAGGCCAGTTACTTCACTTGCCAATTACTCGGGCAGATTGCTGAATTTCTGATGCCAATCACTGAATCACAACGGCTTACCCAGTGACCACTTATCAGTTCTGTCATCCTCTCCTTCCAGATCGTCCTCTGGGGCCGGACTGAGAAATGCCTGAAGGAGACGACGGAGGAGATTCGGCAGATGGGCACCGAGTGCCACTACTTCATCTGTGATGTGGGCAACCGGGAGGAGGTGTACCAGACGGCCAAAGCTGTCCGGGAGAAGGTCAGTGGCCTAGAAGGGTCTGTCCTGAGCTCGGCTACACCCAGGAGAATGCCAGCCAAAGAGATCAATCGCGCCTGGCCTGGGAAAGAGCATTGCTAATGGCAGAATGGCTGTTTCTGGGGCATCTTTGGGGACTCTCTTGGGAAGCTGGACCCTGCTGTGTGTGCGTGAGTGTGTGTGGGCATGTGTGTGCTACTCGGGGCGGGGATAAGGGGTGTGGGTTGATTGCATAACAGGAGTAATCCCCTGTTGTCCTCTTTGGAAGTTCAGACCTTGTGAGTTTCTGTCCTAGAGCTTGGGGGGCAAATGTCCCATTGCTGTCTGGGAAAATCCTTGTCCTAACTCCAGCCATCTGTTTACACTGAATGTCTCAGTGAGCTCTAAGGGAGCAAAAACCACCCTGTTTGGTATCTGGCACATGGTGAATGTTAACTGCTTTTATGTAACAATAACCCCGTTGATTATAAACCTGCTGTGTACCATAAAGTCTTTCGGACCCTCGGATCGACCCCGGGATGGCTGGCAGGCCTGTCTCACAAATCCAGGTTGATGTCTGGAGAGACGATGGGGCTGTCCAGCAGCACACAGCCAGTGTTGAGGGGGCAGGTCCCTGTGCCCTAACGGCCCCGTGGCCCCCTTGCCCGCAGGTGGGCGATATCACCATCCTGGTGAACAATGCTGCCGTGGTCCACGGGAAGAGCCTCATGGACAGTGACGATGACGCCCTTCTCAAGTCACAGCACATCAACACCCTGGGCCAGTTCTGGGTAAGGGCTGTCCCGGGCCACAGCCAGCCCCGGGTACGACAGTGACCCGTTCCTTCCCTCCCGGGTGCCGTCTGGGCGTGGGGAAAGGCTCACCGGGGCCGGGGCATGTGGACGTACAGGAATGTGGAGGTCAGGGCCCTGCAGCGGACAGGCCTCGGCCCCCTCCCCTCCCGTCCTAGGAGAGCTCATCATCGGCGGGGCGCGTGTGCCCCGGGGTGGCCCATTCTCCCCCGAAGAAGTTTAGAGGGGCTACTGGAGGCCCTACACTGACTCCCGCCCACCCTCAGACCACCAAGGCCTTCTTGCCGCGGATGCTGGAGCTGCAGAACGGCCACATTGTGTGTCTCAACTCCGTGCTGGCACTCTCCGCCATCCCCGGCGCCATCGACTACTGCACGTCCAAAGCCTCGGCCTTCGCCTTCATGGAAAGCCTCACCCTGGGGCTGCTGGACTGTCCTGGAGTCAGCGCCACCACTGTGCTGCCCTTCCACACCAGCACCGAGATGTTCCAGGGCATGAGGGTCAGGTGAGTGAGCGGGGGACTCACCTCCCCACCCTCACCCCCCAGCCCTCCACTCCCCCCCGCCCCCGCCATGGCCCCCAGCAGATCGGACCAGGGCCACGCGGCGTACGCGCATGGAGAGCTGACAGTGAAAACTATCTCCGGCGCCCATTATCTTTGGCTTTGTAGTCTCAGACCCGATTCTCCATCTGCAGGGCAGTGGGTTACCGTAGTGCTTTAGGGTCCTGCTTCTTGGGTCAGGGGACTTTTATAAAGTATCAGTTCTATATGATGGGTGCAGTGGAATATTCCCCAACTATCAAAAGAGAACAGAGTGTTCATCCATGAACAGCACGGATGAATCTCAAAAGTCTTATGTGGAGCAAAAGAAGCCAGATGCCCAAGAGTGCTTTCTGCATGAAGGCACCGTATGAAGCTCTAGGGCCAGGCCATGGCAATAGAAGTCAGCGCAGTGGCCGTCCCTGGAGGGCTGGGGACATAGCTTGGGAGGAGGCACGAGGGAACTTTCTAGGCTTTTAAAAATGTTCTCTCTTCCTGATCTGAATGGCGGTTACATAGGTAAAAAGTAATCATGCTATACCCTAAAGATTTATGCCTTTTTATTGTATGCAAATTATAGCTCAATTTAAAGAAATACTGAAGCCCAACCACCTCTCCTCCAGGCCAGTTAAATCAAAGGGAATGGGAACCCTTGGTTTAGAGCTCATGCTTTGGTGCCAACTCACCTATACCTGTAATGTCCCCTGTGACCCTGGGTCCAATTAGTCCCCACTGCAGCCTCCATTGCTCACCTATAAAATGAGATGATGAGAGGGGCATGTGGGTGGCTCAATCGGTTAAGCATCCGACTCTTGATTTCTGCTCAGTTCATGATCTCAGGGTCATGAGATCGAGCCCCACATCGGGCTCCGTGCTGGGTGTGGAACCTGCTTAAGATTCTATCCCCCTCCCTCTGCCCCTTTCCCCTCCCCCCAGCTGGCTCGCTCACTCTAAAAAAAAAAAGAAAGAAAAAAGAAAAAAAGATGGGATGATGAGGATGTCCACACCTCGGGTTCTGGGATAAGGATAAAATGGGACCTGGCACGCAACCCCACATGTGTATATAGTACATGCCCAATAACTGGCACTATAATGATGTGGGGTTGTGAAGGGGCATAAAGTCATAGGTAAATGAAAATGCGGGCTTACCCAACAGCTACTTTCCTTGCTTTTTGCAACATGGCATACAATTATAGATTTGCCTTCCAAATTATATACATCAGCTTCTTCCAAAAACGAGGACGACGTGGAGGGTCCTGGTGGGAATCGAATGAGTCGGCCAGTGGAGGACCTTTCGCAGAGAGCAAACCATATGGGGATCCCTCAGTCCCCCCGAACTGTTAGTTATCGAGAGTGGTTTGGTGACACCCCCGCATCTCTGCACTTGCAAAATCTTCAGCCAGTTTTGCTACCTCTCTGAGCCGTACTTTGCTCCCCTGTAAAAGAGTGGAAATCATATTTCCCTCAGGGGCTCATGAGAAGGGGTCGAAGTAACACACAGAAGGTTCTGGTGCAAAGCCTGGCACATACCTGTCCTTACCGACAGTGAGCATCTCCAAGAAGGTGTAGGTGATTAACCTTCCTCACAGATCATACCTTCCGTGCGCCACTGAAATTCCCACCCGACTCACGTGCCAAGAACTGTAGATTCTGTACGTGGAGGAGGTTGGATTAATGACAGTTAATGTTCCATGTTGGCTTCCCCCCCACCCCCATCTCCTCTTGGTTTGGCTTCTTTTCATCTGGGCACACGGGAGGTGCTCTGTAAATGCAGCAGGGGCAATCCAGGGCTTCCGCTGGGCTCCAGAACATGGAAGTGGGCGGGATATCAGCAGACCTCTGGCAGGGTGCCTGTCTCACCTGCTGGCAGCCTCCTCTCCAGCGCATTAAGGAAATGCGAGGTTCCCCCAAGCCACCTTTCTACAGTGGTTCCGAGTGGGGGCCCACACAGCCTCGGGCCAAACCCCAGCTCCGTGTGACCTTGGACAAGTTACTTTAGCTCTTCTGTGCCTTGGTTTCATCTCTAAGAAGGGATTGGTAGTGTACCCCCTGCTTCACAGGTTAGATGAGCCCCGAGGTGGGAATCCACTAGCCTGCCTGGCAAGTAGTACGCACCAGGTGAAGGTTAGTTAGCTGTGGATGTGCGGCTGAGCACATCTGCGCACACTGTGGGGAGAGTCATAAAGGGGTGATTGGTGTTTAACCAACTCCCATTTCTTAAAAGAAAAAAAGAAGAAGAAAAAGAAAAACGTTGGCTTCCTCCCCAACCATGAAAAAACTGATGGGCTTTCTGGCAGGAGCGAGTCGTAGAGGTGGGAGCTCTTGTCTGCAAATCGCTATTTACTGATCTTGTTCTATGTTCCAGCCACAACAGCTACTTTATAAACGCAGCTGCATTTGGCCCTCAGCAGCCCCGTGAGAGCGCTCTTGTTCCCATTTCACAGACGTGGGAACTGAGGCTCAGAGGAGCGAAGTTACTTGCCCAGGGCCACACAGAGGGAAATCGGCTGAACATGCTTCTTCCACAAGTCTGGGCTGCCTCCGTGGGGGTAAAGGCTCTGCCTGTTCCCTGTGTACCCATCCCACCCACCAAGAAGGAAAGAAGGACCCTCCAGTGGGCACGCTGGCATCCTCTGTCAGCTTCTCCTGCAGGGGTCCTACTAGGAAGGGCCCCCCCTGAACCCACAGAACTTGGCCTATCCATCCTGTCTTCCCTTCCCTCAAGTAGCGAGCAGGACCGGCCCAGGTCGGGGCTGGAAAACCAGACTGTCCGCGGTGTCTGTCCCGGCCTCTGTGAGTGGCCTCAACACATTCAGCTCTGCAGGCCCCCAGTGGCTGCCCTTCTAGATCGCAGGGCTGTGAGCATCTTGGCTGCATGTTGGGATAGCGAAGGAAGCCCCTGGCGGGGAATGGGGTTGGGGGGGGACACCCACGGGTTCTCTGAGGCCAACCCAGCCCATGCTTGGGTCCCAAGAGTTGCCTTTGCTCAAGGTAACATCAGCTCTGAGTGACTTACTGCCCTAAGTGCTCCTGGGGCCCGAACAGCACACAGGCCCTCTGTGGGATCGAGGTCAGCCCTGTGCCTACAGGCCCAAGAGGGATGGGACAAGCTGCGAGGGAGGGCGAGGACAGAGCTTTGGCCTGGGGCCCATGCTGGCCTGGCTTGAGCCCTTAGGCGCCCCCCCCCTTAATCTCCCCCAAAGCCTCAGCTTCCTTCCCTATAAATTGGAGCAAACGGCTCCTGGTGCATTTAGCACGGGCCTGGCACTTAGGGAGATGTGTGGGTCTCCGGTCGGAGGCCTCTGAACAAGCATGAGAAAGCTCCCTGGCATTTCTGTATTCAGTGGTTCATTTACCAGCCCCATGGAAAGCACTCTGCCGATGTTTGGATGGCTCAGTGAGTGAATCAATGAATCAGCGAGGGAAGCAGCAAGCTGGGGAGAGTTCCCGCAGACCCCTGCCTCCAGACAGGGCAGGCAGGACACATTTGGGGAACAGCAGGTTGTTCTGTGTCCATCCGTTCAGTGAGCATTGATTGAGCACCCACTACGTACCAGACTCTGCCCAGAGGGGGTAAAACAGAGAGCAAGACTGACCAGACCTCTGCCCTTGTGGAGCGCACAGTCTGAGGCGGGGAGACAGGCCACGAGCAAGGAAACAAGCAGACAAGCAAGGCCATTCTAGAGGTGGCCAATGCGGTCAAGGGGATTAGCAGGGGGAGGAGATCAGAGGCCACCCCGAAGGGACAGGCCGAGAACCCTCTCTGATGGGACAGCTGGTGAAAGGCCCTGAGCCAGCAAAGAGTTTAAGTGGCAAGAACAGAAAGGCTGGCCAGGTTTGCTGGAGCAGAGTGATAAGGGCGAGGGGTCAGGCGGTGGGTGAGCAGGGCCCACAAGGAGGAAGGCGGTGGAGGGCGCTGGGAGCTCTGGGAGGGTCTGGGCCAGGCAGCGCCATGATCAGAGTGACATTTTAGATAAAGGATCCCTGGGAAGCATTTTGGAGAATGGGTCCCAGGGGATGGGCTACAAGATCTCCATTCTCAAGGGGAGACTCACTGGGGAGAAAAGGAAGGGGGGACTCCCACCCCTCTGGGGCAGCCGGTGGGGGGGTGGGCAGAACCTTCTAAAGGGACTCAAGTCTCCCAAAGAGCAGACACCAGAAGGATGGGCCAGATTTGTTAGCCATGGAGGTGGTCAGCAGAAACACTGGTTTCTCTAGAAGAATCCCCTGTCGTTTCTTCCTGCGTCAGGTTCCCCAACCTCTTCCCGCCGCTGAAGCCCGAGATGGTGGCCCGGAGGACGGTGGAAGCCGTGCAGCTCAATCAGGCGCTGCTCCTCCTCCCGTGGACCATGCATGCCCTCATTATCCTGAAAAGGTAAGGGCTGGGGGGTGGCGGAGGGCAGCTCCGAGGCAGGCTCACGCTGGCCATTTCCCCTTCTGCTGGGGAACCCCGGGTGGGGTTCTCCTGAGCAGGAGAAAGGACGCGTGTGATAGATTAGTCATGTCTGCCGTGGGCACGAGAGCGAACAGAGGTGGTCTGTGTGCCAGGGATTTCCTACACCTAGGATAGAGCCGCAGTTCTGAAACTTGTGGGTCTCAGGACTCCTGTACAATCTTAAAAATTAGAGGAACCCGAAGCCCCCCCGCTTTTTTATGTGAGTTGTATCTATTATTAGTTACCATACGAGAAATTAAAATGGAAAAAGTTTTACAAGATTTATGTATTTGTTTATATTTAAAATACTTATTTATAAACAGCAGTAATAAATCCATTTCCATCCTTTGTTGACATAAATATGATATTTATATAAAAAGTGTATTTTCCACCAAAAATAAAAGTAGTAGGAAGAATGGCATTGTTTTGATTTTTGCAAAGTTCTTTATTGCCTGACTTAATTGTAGACAATTGGATGCTTAGATCTGCTTCTGATTTTAATCGGTTATGATATCACGTGTCACCTCGCTTCCAGAAAACTCAGCTGCATGTGGGAGAGAGACGTGTGGAGGCAAATACGCCTTAGTGTTATTACAAAAAAAGTTTGACCCCTGAAGAGGTTTCAGGTATCCCCTGAGGGTTCCTGGGCCACACTTTGAGAATCACCGTTCCAGAGACTAGTACTCAGCCCCGAGGTCCAGGAAGTTCAATCTAATGGGGGAAAACAGGGATCTCAATGTTGGAGATTCCCAGAAACGCTCCAGGGCTGTCAGGTGGGATGTACCAGGAGGTAGTCTTTAAAGAGGCGATCATCCTCCTTCAGAATCAGCCCAGCATCACATTTCCTAGAACTCTCTCGACTCTGAGCAGCACACCCTGCCCCTCCCAGTCCTGCCCTGAATGGGCGGCCATTCCAGGTGTCCACCTAAACCTGCTGCTTCAGGGAGAGCTTGGATGCTGGAGCCCCGTGACCATGGACTCCTGGCTCCTCTGGGCCTCGTCTCCTGCCCCCAGCCCCCAGCCCCCAGCTGACTGGACCCCTCTGACCTGAAAGGCCTTTTCAGGAAGTGAAGGACCCAGGTGCCTTCATGAGATATCAAGGCCCAGGAAACCGGTTCCCCTCTGGCTGTGTGTCTACAGCTGAGGAGCTGCTCCAGCTGCAGGCATGGGGACCTCCTCACGGAGGGGACACATCAATCAGTCCAAACTCATAGCTCTTTCAGAGACACCTGAAGGGTGTCAGCGGCAGGGGGCACCTGGGGGCGTTTGGGCCACATCTTGGTGCCCCTTAGGCCGTCCCGATTGTTGCTCTGAGATGCTCCTTGCTGCCTCTGTGAGCCCCTAGGAGAGTAGAGACTGCCACCCTCCACCGCAGGGAGCGTCTCAGAAGCCTTTCTGAACATTCTAGAGAAAAGCTGGTTTGTCTAGAACATGTCAGTGTTTCCCACAGCAAGCCCCCAGCCTACATTCCCTCTTCTGTCCCCCACTACTTTCCACAGGAAACAGAGGCCACCCCCTTCCCAGCCCCTGCACCGTACCCCCTTTTCACCGTCCCAAGAAAAATCTTTACAAGCTCAACTCTAGAGCCACCCACGCCCCAGGGAGCCTTCCAGAGCCCTTCCCATCCTTCACCAAGGCCGGGGTCTTTCCATTTGATTTAACAAACGGACTGAGCCCTGCGTGTGGGGCTTGGATCAGAGATGAAGTATCTCCCTCCGAGGCAAGCATGGGCCTGACAAGCAAACAGCAAGGACACCGCAGGTCCCACTGGGGAAGCAGAGGGGCTGTGGGGGAGCCCGAGGAGAGGCCTGGGGGTGAGTCTGGGAAGTTTCCCTGGAGGAGGTGACGGCAGTACCTAACTCCTCGGTCCCACACAGCAAATATTTGTTGAATAAGTAGCACGTGGAGTTAATTGCTCTCTCAGATATCTGTTGGCCCCAAAATGCTAAGCATGTGGCTTTGAAAGTTTATTTCTACCACCCACCTTTACCTTGGAAACATTGTCTATCCACTCACTTGAAAGCCCTTCCTCCATGGAGGGCGGGTGGGGGGCGGTGCGGTTTACGGGAACCATTGCTCTACTGCGTGGTCCTCCGTGGCCAACAGTGACCTGGCCACTGGCGCCCCTACTAACCATCTTCCTTCCTCCCCGCCCCCCAACTCCCCCAGCATACTCCCACAGGCTGCACTGGAGGAGATCTACAAATTCTCAGGAACCTACACCTGCATGAACACTTTCAAAGGGCGGACATAAAGGCCAGATGCAGAGACACGCTCGCAAGCCACGGAACCTGAGGGGGCCACGGTGCTGGGCACACACCCACACGCCTGTCCCTTGGCACACTTCTGCTGGGTGAGCAGGACTGCTCCTGGCCCCAGGAAGAATCCAGGTGCCCCCCCCCCCAGGCCGGGCCCAGGACCTTTGCACAGGACTGACGGGTGTAACTCTGACCCCCATGGGGAGGCGAGAAACCAGCCAGCAGCCACCTTGACACTTTGATACATTTCTAATTCTGTAGAGTTTATTGTTAAATTGCTTCTCGAGTCTAACCAGCCTTAGCAGTGTGCCTAGACTGTTGCCAGAGGGTCTATACCCAGATGCTCTCTTCTTTCCGAAATCCACCCATCCACAGCTTGTGCAAACTGGTTGAATGGCAGGAATGAAAAATAAAGAGATGGTTTTCGCGAGTTCCTTTGTTGAAATCCCCGACCCCTCGTCCTTGGCAGTGGGGAGGGGACCGATCGCCACCACAAAACCCCATCCTTTAAGACACGGTCGGTCTGCTCGGGGTCCCCAGGTGCCAGGAGTGGAGCGGACAAGAAGAGGGCAGAGATGGCGAGAGAAATTGGGGCCCGTACCTGGGGTATGTGGTTCCTTGCCGCCTTTGCCAGGCCCCTCCCAACAGCCATGGGTTGGGGGCACTTGGCCTCGCCACCCACGACTGGAATGAACTAGTCTGCAGAGAACTGCCCTCTGCCCTGCCACAGCCCCACCAGCCGTGAAGTGACCAGCCCGGGAGAGCGGAACCAGTCCTTAGTGAGCACCCACTGAGCGGCGGGCCAGTCTACTGAGCATGACTGGGTATTGAGAGGCAATGTCGCTGAGGAGCCAAAATTCTGAAGACCACCAGCACCAGAGGTCCCCTGCTAAGAGGCTGCTACAGGCCCCTGAGCCAGATTTGACGGCAGGGTCTAGAAGTGAAATAGAAAGCAACGGGGAGGTCTGGAATGGCACAGTGGACCCGGGCTCAGTCACCGAGGAGGATTACGGCCAAGGAGACGTGGGGAGAGATGCCCCATGGTTCCTCTGGTATGTGTTCTCTCCTCTGCAGCGAGCTCATCAACCTGACCTCGGGCAGGGGGACAGGTGGATGGTGGCCTCTGCCTACAAGGCTCTTGCAGGTGGGTGGGCAGGTGGGGGGGGGATGGGCAGCAGCTCCCCAGGGGTGAAGGAGAAGGTCGCAAGTTCAAGGTAGGAGCTTCCCTGGGCTCTGCATATGGCGGCCCTTATACACAATTCACGTTATCGGAAGATTAATCTCCAAGTCCGGACGCTCGTCGGTCAGGTCTGTGTGCAGAAATGCCAAGTCGTGGTTACATCCACTGTTTATGGAGTACCTGCCAAGCGGCCACCAAGTCGAGGGCATCACATTTTAACCGTTAACTCCCCACCACACCTAGCAGCAGCTCCTGGGAACCCCTTCCAACAGCCAGGAGCTGTGTCAGCCAGGGTGTGACCCCAGGTCTCCCTGACTGCCGACAATGAGGCTTGTCTTAGAATTGCCCCTGTCCGCGAAGGGTGGCAGTAGCTCTGCTCCGTGTCGTCTTCACGCTGGGAGCCTGGCTGAGCGAGCAGCCTCCATCTGGGCCGCTGTCTGGGGGCAGAGGTAGACACACCCGGCCACCCGGCCACCCAGCCCGGGATCCGAAGGTTTCTGCCCGGAAACAGCGCGCGTCACTTCAGCTCACATGTCATGGGCCAGCGCAGGTCATGTGGTCAAGCCTGCCGTGGCTGCCGCGGGACATGCACTCCGTGGAAGCGTGGTCGATCGCTCTGAACTATAACGCAATCTGCCACGCGGCGGAAGCTGTCCCCGAGAACGTGAGGAAAAATCAAAATGTCGGCGGAGGATGGAGGGAAGCAGACAGATGCTGTTCTGGGATGTGGTGGCCCCCCTCTGCACACACCAGGTCCTGAGCGGAGCCCCACAGAAGCACTGAGCTATTTGTGGGCGTGGTGCCAGAAAGATGGTCTCGTAGGTGAGCAAAGAGGCCCAGAGCAAGGAGATTGCCTGCCCAGGTTCCGAGGGCTTTAACTCCAGAGGCAGCATTCGAACCCGGCTCTCCCTGGCCTGCAAGCACCCGCACTGCAGCAAGTGACTCGTCACCTGTGTTTTGGTGCTTGAGGATATGTGTCACCAAAGTGGGGGGCAGGGGGGAGAAAGCTGCTAAAGGCATACCCCGGCCAGGCCGGTGAGGGCAGACCTGGAACATCCATGCCCACACGTATCAAATCACCCCATTGTGGCCTGTCTGGACAACATGGTGGGGGTGGTCCCTGGGTTGGGCCTGCCCCTCAGCTGTCCCAGGAGCCTGTCACTGGCTCTCGCAGGAGGGAGGTTGAAGGCGGGGGCACATGTCCGTGGGCAGGGGTAGATGAGGAAGGAGAAGGGGAGATCCTGTCCACCGAGCCCCGACTTTTCTGATCATCCTTGAGCGGCAAGAAGATTTCTGTGCTCCCAGCTGGCTCCAGGCCAACCATTTGGAGGGGATTTGACTCCCAAGGTTTCCATGAAATGCAGCGTTTGGCCTGCAGACCAGGAACACGGTGAGGACTCTGGGAGTGACAAGGGCTGGCCAGCCCTCCCCAGGGCCCACTGAGAAGGGAATTGCCTTGGCTCCACTGGGACCTCACATCCTTCCAGAGCCCCAGGGGTTTCTCCTGACAGCCAGGCACGGCCTGGTCCTACCCTGTCCCCTCCCTCTCCGCTGGGACACTTTCAGTCTTTCTCTGGATCTCTTCCCAGAGGAACCAGGGAAAAAGCCTTGGGCAGATTCCCAGGAGGTCCTAGCCTGGTCCCTCCCCGGGATGGTCTGGGTGCTTGGAAAGCCTTGCGAGTGAGGGAGGAGAGCTAATTCTGTCCCCGGACTTAGCCAAGGGAAAGAGAGTGACACACCCTGAACTCTGGCTCCCTGATGCCCCGAGGGGCAGGACCAGGCATGCCGACCCTGCAGAGAAGGCTTGGGCCCCGGGAAATGACCCAGTTGCCATGCCATCGGTTCCTCCACAGAGAACCAGATCGGAGGTGGGCACTAAACCCAGGGAGGCACCAGACCAGAGCCCATCCTGGCAGGGTTCCGGGCACCAGGCTATCTGGCCTGGCAAATGGCCAAGAGTTGAATCCTGTGGCCGCAGCCCCGCTCCCGGGGCCAGAACGCTTTGAGAAGTGGAGTCTCTTCTTCTCGGGCCAAACCGATGGCCAGGAGGGACCAGGGTGATGACAGGGCTCAGCCCTGCCCTGCGTTCCCCCACAAGAGCCCCTCTGACGGGGCAGACCCCACGCCCCCGGGGCGTGTGTCCCAGACTGTGTCCCAGTCTGATGGGGGACCCAAAAAGGAGCCAGGTCACAGACAGATGAATCCTGCTGTCTGGGTGCTGAGCAGCGCAGAGGGAAAAAACAATTGCAGGTTGGTGGATGGGGGCCGGGGGTCAGGGAAGGACCGCTGTGGGGGCTCTCCCTCCCACCACAGTGCCTCGGGACCTCTCCCTCGGAGGGGGCTTCTTGGATTTTCAGGAAGGGCCTTGTAAAGGGGGGATCATTCATAGGGGCCCAGAGGTCTATGTTTGTGAAGAGAACGTCGGTATGGACACACCCCTCACTTCAGGCAAAGCAGGGGGTGACGACCGTGTCCCTTGGCACAGCAGGAAGGCTTGGAACTGCCCGTGGGCACCCCAGCCACTCCGTTCCCCTTCCAGAGGGCTGTCATCCTGGGGTCCAGTTTACCAACATCTGTTAACACGCTTCTCCTCAGGAGCTGTGGACTGCATGCTGTGGCGCGGAGCCTGGGCCTGCTGTCCCCTCTCCCCTCCCACGGCCCCCCTGAGGCCCTCAGCGTCCAGGAGCCCAGCAGACCCCCAAGCACCCAGCTTCTCCCAGCCCACCAAGGCCCAGAGGCTCCCCAAGAGGTAGGAGGCCCCAGAGGACTCCAGACTCTGGAGTTCCACTGGCTCGTCCGTCCTCTGCATGTGAGCGCACCCCTCCTCTCCTGCAGAAAGGATGAGATGTTCCTGCCCTCTGGCCTCCTAGGCAGGGATGAGTGTCCAGTGCAAAGGCTCTGGAAACCCAAGGGCATGACGTGATGCCGGCGGCCAGGACCCAAGTGCCCCTTAGGGCACCTGGCATCACCATCCTGGCCTGGCCTGGCCGGCCCTGTGACAGCAGGCTGGGGTGGAACGAAGCTGGAGCTCAGCACGGGTAGTAGGTGCAGGAATTGGAGGAGAGCCCTGGGGAGGGCAGAGCAAAGGGGCCCGACGGGCAGGTGCTTCATGGGGGATGGGGGAGGACTGTCGTCTTCCAGCACACGGCGGGTGGGGGGGGGCAGGACATTTCTCCGGCCTCTCCCACCACGGCTGGCTCGGGGCAGGTCCTTTGCGCCCAAGTCTCTCGGTGGCTTGGGAAGAAAATGAGCACAGAAGTCCCCCAGGCAGGCATCGTCGGGAGGGGCACAATGGTCACGGCCCTGCTGGGGAGCTGCTCTCAACACGTGGGTCCCCTCAGGCGGACGGCAGGCCTTGGAGGCAGGGCCGCCACCCCAAACTAGCCCGGGCAGGGCAGTCTGGCCGGCCAGCGCTCAGCTGTATGACCCGGGGGTCACCAACTTCCCTGGACGGAAGCAGCTGGGAGGGAATATTTCTGCAGGGCCCCGAAGCCTAGACACCAGGTCACTAAGGTCACCTGGGCGTGCCTGCATAGCCCCTCTCCAGCGCGCACCTGCCGGCCCGGGAGGGGGCCTCGGGGAGGTGTGCACCTGACCCCGGAGGCCTGGGCTGCCCCACCTCAGCCTCTCCCTTCCTTCCCTCAGCGCCTGTCTCACCGGCCGGGAGGTGGGCTCGAGGCTTGATGAAGGCTCCGTGTGCTAGGCTGTGTTGAGACAGAATCCACGTGCCGCACAGTTCACGCGCTCCAAGTGTGCAATGCGGTGGCGCTTGGTGTAGTCACGGGGTTGTGCAACCACCAGCACAGACATCTTTGGGAACATGCATGCAGGATGTGCTCTCTCGTGTCCGGCTTCTTTCCCTCAGCAAACGTGTTCAGGCCTCACCCTGCCCGTGGCCGAGGGTAACCGGGCCTTTGCACAGCCGAATAACCGTCTAGCGTGGTCTGTTCACCCAGTCCGCACTCTGGGAGGGTACTCTGGGCCATTCTCTCTCCTTGCCCCCCGAGTCCGTCTGGCTCCCTTCCCCTGGAGAGCGGACGCCCCGTGAGCAGCAGGGCAGGTCCATGGAGGAGCGCAAGGCGCCGACACAAGCCCATCGGACGGAGCCTTTGCCAGCGGCAGCACCACGGTGGGCTCCCCCCTTCACAGCACGCCCCGTTCCCCCACCCACCTCCCCTTACACTCCAGATGGGCCCCTGAATCCTAAAGCCAACATTTACCATGAAGTGTTCAGGGCGCCACGCCAGTGT